CAATGGTTGAAGTTAAAATATTTTCCCCAAAATGTCAAAATATTGCTATTGGGAAAAGCCGCACCATCACAGTTCTGCCCAAATAAGTGTTCCTCACTGTGCCAACTCATTTATTTTCAACTCTAAACAATTTCCTGACTATCATCATCTAACTCTTTCTACCGCACATCGGATCATAAAATTTTGCACAGATTGGTATTCATGCCTATTGCGAATAGTGCATTTTTTTGTAAGGCTGACGCTTTCGATTGTAATAGACCATTGGATCTCTGCTGAGGTCCAATAGCGAATGATGAGGCCTTAGAAACAGGGTTTCTTTGCTGTGCTCTTTCAAGTACCATTTAGTTTCTGCCATTCTCGAAGTGATTCGTTATCAGCATAAAGTTAAGACTTATTCACTGTGCTTTTCGCCTTTTTTGAACAACTTGAGAACCTGGTAGCTTAAACAACTTCCGGTTCATACAATAAGTTCAATTGCTGTTAGCTTAACTTCTTCTGTCTCATGCAGGGACTTCAATAAATTCTCTGTATTTTAAATGTGATGCGATGTCCTCCTCCAGTATGTGGTCGTTTCTCCTTAAGTCACATTTACTCGCAACTAGTAATAGGTGCTTTCCTCATATCATAATTTTGGCAATAACGTTAGGCTGTCTCTTCATTGAAGTAGTTGGAGGTATCACTCACTTTCGTAGTAGTAAACCATTTGCGGCCTCAGAACTGATTATTTAACCATTCCCTTCTTCTAGTTTCGGTTCATTTAAGTAGAAATGGACTTAAAGGAATCGTTCTGCTTAAAATGTTACTGCTTGCATACTCAGAGTTGATGAAACGTTCGCTCAGTAGAAATTTTGAAAATTTTACATTGTTCATTGAAATACTCTGCGTGTCCTACTTTCTCCTGGTAAAAAAGAATGGAGTACTACATTAAAAATTAATTTTAGGGGTCATATTCTGGCTGTTGTTAGGATTAATGGCTAAAAATCTCGCTTGAATACTAATAGACTTGCATATGTATTTACACACCGACAACACGATAATGTATCGTCAAACATCGACGGTATTAGTGTGAATAGAGAGGAATAAGGTATGAATAGAGGACTGGGAGGAAAGAAGAAACATGCGGAACACTTGACTGGAACACCTTTCAAACTCTGTGCACTTGACTTGGTTCTAAAATATGCTGGTGCGGTACAAGGCAGAATATCCAATCCGTGGGATGCAACGGTAGACTGGGGGGTGGATTGGTAATCACAAAACGCCGATGACAGACAGGACTCCCATCATCCAGGTCACACCAGCGCAAAAGCCGATAGATACCAATGATCAGGATGCCATATTCCCGCAGTGCGGCAAGGAAAAGTTTTTCAAAGGGCGTCCCCTGTACCGCAAATTTCCCCAGTGTATTCCCAGTTAAAGTTAACTGTGCCAGCCGACATCGTTCCCTGCATGCTCTACTCGTTGATGTTGTACTCCCACCACGCATTCCCGCACCTTCAGCAAGAATCTTCTCCAACAGAGGTGTGGATCCACCCGTTACTAGCGATCGAATAAGTGTCAACGCTGATTCGTTAAAGTAGGCTGTACTCATAAGAGAATCTAGGACACTTATGGTGAAGGCTGTTCCGCAGGCAAAGGGCTGTGTCATGAATAGCTCTCCACCTTCATCGTCATCTTCTTGGTCAAGGAATTGTACATTCATATCAAATGCAAGTTCCGTTGCCATGGGAATAGTAGCACCGTTGCGCGAGACGAATCGTGGCGGTCGGTAGAAGACAGCTGGAATGTTCGGATCAGCGGGCTGCGCAATCCCATACTGATGGTGGCTCTTGCTTAGAATCAGGTTTTGTACTCTATTTCGTGATGGTCTTTTGAAAGAATTTACGCTATTATCTTCTCGTCGAAGAGTCAAGTGTTTGATTGGCGCACAGGCGGGTTCCGCATAAATGGAATCCAGGTCTGAAAAGTCCATCGCCTTCACATTGAGTGAGCAAAGAATGGCTTCTTTGTCAGCCAAAGTAAGATCTTCAATTGTATTATCGCTTTTTGAAGAAAGGATGACACACATGGAAGCCAGGTTCACGTTTACTGACCGTAGATTTGCTTTGCTTAAAGGAGATCCCGGAAGAACCCATATTCTTGGAAAATTTGCCAATGTTTTCCATTCCCTTTTGATGTAATCCAAATTTCCAACTAGAACGACCGTTTTCAAGTCGTGAATGTGAAGATTACTGGCCCTAAGTGGCATTATAAAACTCCTCAGTCCGATGATAGGACTACGATAGTCAGCAAAGATGCAGACAACTATGTGATCTGTGAAATTTTTCGTCGATGCCGGTTGCTCGTCGTCCAAAAGGCATGTTTTGATATTCCTCTCTGGGCACCAGTGAAACATTCCCGTAGCATCAAATTGGCAGGTTGTATTTAGGTTCTGATCTCCTGCCGGCTTGTAGCCATCAGCACTGGCCCCACCTAGATGATGCATCGTGCTTCCGTGCCAACTTAAGTGGTTGGTAATGCCAGCAGCCCCCCCTCTAGTCAGCCAGGCAAGATCCAAATGACTAGATGAGGCAGATGTGCTGACAATGAGTGGTGAGAGGCAGTTGGCTGTAGTTCCTACAGCCACGGGCAAGGCAGGTTCTAGCACACTGGTAGAGTCCAGCAGGCGACTTAAAATCGTCTTAGCTCGGTTCATCTGACCCGATTTCACGCAGGGACACAGCTTCACTTGGTGCATCTCCACATTGGCATGGCAACGCTTGCAGTATAGCGCCGCCCGTTTAGCCTCTTCCGCCGATTGAGCTATGAAAAATCCTTGAGTGTTGGCGGTTATTTTTGTTGAACTCTAAAAGCATTCATCATCATATATTGCCAGCAATGAGGTTTGTTTACTCTTAGATTCTATTGTTTTTTGATGCGATACAACGGTCGAGCTCAGTTTCGCGAAAACGGATACATTTTGGCCTGCTTCCTCTCTCCCACACGACTATCAGTGACTCTTTTAAAGAACTAGTTGTCTGTTAAGTTGGGTGAGCAGGTACGATTGAGTATGAGATGGTGGCTTCTCCTTCCTTTATTATAAACCACCATTGGTAAATCAAAGGAAGTTCAACAAAGTCAAAAGCTTTTTCACTAACAGCAAATGACAGTGTCAATAAGCACGACCAAAAATGCTTATAGGAAAATTAACGCCCCTTGCAAAAGTTTGAAGAACAAATCTTACTGGTTTTTTCCTTAGCATCCAGTCTACATTTTCTTCTAAGCGGAAAGTTTTCAATACACGGTGGAAAAATAATTATTCT